GTGTGTGTGTGTGTGTGTGTGTGCGAAAATGAAGCGATGCTGCCGTTAACCGAACAGCGTTTATCACAGCCTCGTTCATCATCGATCATCGGGTGATCGGATCTGATCGTCTTTAGCGTGAGTTCGATCTTTATCTATCGACGGATTGATTGATAGCTAATAGAGATGATGCGGTGTTGTGAATCTGATGATCGATGATGGATCCGATTGTTTTCATGCACGTATTTGTTCGGTGCTTTAATGCGATCGTTGTTTTTTTATCTTTTTGGCGCAGAAGCAGTTGCCATGACAACCGCATCCGCAGCCCCGCGCTGTAATTATCAGCATCAGAGGGAAAAAAAACAGCCCTGCACTGCAACGCGACGCGTCCAAACACAACGCCTCCGTTTATAATCACATACGCTGTTTGGAAGCGTCGCGTCGCGCAGCGCAAGCGGGTTTAAAAGACCTGTTACATGCCTTCAGTGTGTGTGTGTGTGTGTGTGTGTGTGTGTGTCTTTTGAGAGGAAATATGATGGTGCGTTTCATTCTGCAAGAGCAAATGAAGGTGGAAAGCAGCGCATAATATAACACACTCACAATGTGGTGTGTGAAGTGTGTTACACTAATAATTTCAGAGGGGAAAATTGTCCACCTGCAGGACACACACACACACACACACACACACCTGCCGTCATTTAACTGTGCTAAAGTGGAGCAGCAGTGAAGGAATGTGGAGCGTCTCTCTCACCTTCACGTCTCCTTCACATCAGCTGCCCTGTTTCTGCCAGTCATTCTGTCCAGAGGGAGCTGTGTGTGTGTGTGTGTGCATTGACACTAATGTTACCGTGTTTCTTCACAGAACATGGATAAGTCTCTGTTGCCGTCGGTTACGATGATTGTGGGATGCGGGGTGTCGTCCCTCACCCTCCTCCTCCTCCTCATCATCTACGTCTCTGTGTGGAAGTAAGAAACTTATCATAATGCTTGATTTACTGATTGATTGATATGATTAATTTAATTGATGTGTGGTTTATTAATTGGTTGCATCAAAAAGGTTGCATTGCAAATGTTTTGATGTCATGAACCCATAAATTAGATGTTCACTACCTAACTGTGTATTTTTACATTTATACGTTAAAATAAGTCTAGAAGTATGTGTATTTTGGTTGCTAGTGGTTGCACTTTAAGAACCAGTTTACAGTATTAACTAGCATGCATATTGCTAGCATATTGGCTGATTATTAGTACTTATAAAGCATTTGAATTTGACCTTAAAATAAAGTGTGACCAAAACATAAAATATTACGAACTAAAAAGCCATTAATCTCATCATTAAAGACCAGAATAAAACTACAATTGTGTCAAATTCTGTATTGTATCTATTTTGTTAGAATAATTTGGTTTTATTTCTATCTATTTCCATACTCAAATATTTAAATATGGATATATATCTCTAAACTTTTTCTCAGACCCCAATCTGAAAACCCCTGGTTTGGTTGATTGAATTTTATTAATTGTTTTTTTTCTCTCTTCTTCTCAGGTACATCCGTTCTGAGCGCTCAGTGATCCTGATCAACTTCTGTCTGTCAATCATCTGCTCCAACGCCCTCATTCTGATCAGTCAGACGCAAGCGCGCAACAAGGTATAAACCCGAGCCTGAAGCTGACCGTTCGCAGCACACATCAGCTCCGATGACCAGCGGCTCACCTCTCGTTCCGTCTGTCTCTCGCAGGTTATGTGTGCCTTGGTGGCGGCGCTCCTGCATTTCTTCTTCCTGTCCTCGTTCTGTTGGGTCCTGACGGAGGCGTGGCAGTCCTATATGGCCGTCACGGGCCGCCTGCGTAACCGCATCATCCGCAAACGCTTCTTGTGTCTGGGATGGGGTGAGTGTGCGCGCTGCTGTTGACAGTGTTGGGGGTAACGCATTATAAGTAACGCGAGTTACTTAATCAGGTTACTTTTTTAAGTAACTAGTAAAGTAACACATTACTTTTTATTTTTAGAAGGAAATATCTGAGTTACTTTTTCAAATAAGTTACTTTGTTTCCATGTATTGAGTGACAGCTCTGGTGTTGCCATGGTGACAGAAATCAGGAGTAAGTGCAGAGGTTGTGTGTGAACATGATCTTACTGTAGTTCTAGACTAAATATCAATATGTGTTTACTCAAAAACAGATTCAGTGTTCCTCAAAATCAATACAAACAGTCAAATGCAAACTTAGAATATGACACAAACCTGCAATAATTAAATATGTTAAATAAAACAAATATCATTTATGTATTTAATCCCATTTTATTAACTAATGTCTTTGCTACTGACCTTCGATGATCCAATTCATCCATACTAATAAGCAAAAGAGACACATTTGTGTTTTATTTTTGTTATTGCTGAATAGCGTTGAAATTTCTTCTCCTGCGTCTTCATGTGATTAGTTTGAGCGGTGCCCTCTACTGTACAGATGTGAATTTACATTTCCTTCAGCCTGAGGCGCATTCATTTCACCTTTGGATGAAAGGGCTTTTACATTTGTAAAAGAAGAACTTTTAATATTAAAAACAAACAAGCAAGCCCTGCGCAGATTTAAAAAGTAACTCAAAAGTAATGTAACGCATTACTTTCCATAAAAAGTAACTAAGTAACGTAATTAGTTACTTTTTTAGGGAGGAACTCAATATTGTAATGCATTACTTCTTTCCCCAACACTGGTTGTTAATTCTGGAGAGTGTCGCGTGACTCGTGTGATGGGGTGTTTAACTCTCTCTGGATTCTCTCTCAGGTTTGCCCGCTTTAGTCGTCGCCATTTCGGTCGGCTTCACCAAAGCCAAAGGTTACGGCACCGTCAACTAGTGAGTATTTCCCATCTTGTTTCCCATCTTTCTCTTTCCATCTGTGTCTTTGTGAGTTTAACACTGGTGTTTCTTCTTCTTTCTGCGCAGCTGTTGGTTGTCTCTTGAAGGCGGACTCTTGTACTCGTTCGTGGGTCCGGCCGCTGCTGTCGTTCTGGTGAGGAGCCGCTCTTGGACACTGCATGATCGACAGCATGTGCAGTGTTGAGCCTTCACTGACGTCTCTTTGTGTGTTTTCAGGTCAACATGGTGATTGGAATTCTGGTTTTCAACAAGCTTGTGTCCAAGGACGGCATCACGGATGTTAAGCTGAAAGAGAGGGCTGGGTAAGAAATACTGTACACACCCAATTAAAAGCCAGTCACATTGAAGAGTGTGGAGCAAGTTGTATTAAATGCACTGTCCTGCAGGGCGTCGCTGTGGAGCTCCTGTGTGGTTCTCCCTCTTCTCGCGCTGACGTGGATGTCTGCCGTGTTGGCCATCACGGACCGCCGCTCCGCATTGTTCCAGATCCTCTTCGCTGTCTTCGATTCTCTGGAGGGATTCATCATTGTCATGGTGCACTGCATCCTGCGCAGAGAGGTCAGTACGTTCACAATCGAAGCACGTGTGCGTTTAACGTGTCTTTGAGTGTGCCAGAGCTCATAAATGTGTGTTTTTCAGGTTCAAGATGCGGTGAAATGCCGTGTGGTGGACCGCAAAGATGACGGGAATGGCGATTCCGGCAGCTCCCTGCAGAACGGCCACACGCAGCTCGTGGTGAGTCTACATGCAAGTATTCTCATGTATTTTACATTTTAACAACGGCATTTATAAATCAAATTTATTTTTTCCTGTGTGCAGTCTGACTTTGAGAAGGACGCCGACTCAAACCGACCAGGTGAGCATATAAACAAAAGATCGCCGCATTCATATTACCATAAAGCGGAGGTGTCCAAACCTGTTCCTGGAGAGTTTAGCTACAACCATAATTAAACACAGCTGAATCAGCTAATCAAGGTTTTCAGGATTACTAGAAACTAGAAGCTAAACTATGCAGGACATTGGCCCTCCAGGAGCAGGATTGGACACCCCTGCCATAAGGCATGAAACTTGACATGTTCTTATGTTTGGTAATAAGAAACTAGGGGGGCTTATCCAAGGCTTATCCATGCCTCATGATCTGACCTGCCTCTTTGCCTCCCTTCAGGTGGAATGAAGAGCTCCTCCGAGGAGAAGATGCCCCCTCCACAGATGCCCCTGCCCCTCGGCCCAAACTTCCACACCCTTCCATCCAACCCCAGCAGAAAGAGCCACATTCCCCCCGTCCCCGAGTACTCCAGCCACACGCTCACCCTGCGGAGAGAGAAAGGTTGTGGAGTCGACCCGTCCTGTGGCAAACCTGTGTACGTGTGTGACAGCGAGCTCTTCAAGCAGCTAAATGTCGATCTGGCCCTCGCTCAGGCCGAGAGCGTCTGTTCGGATGGCAGCGGTTACGTGCTCCTGCCCAACACCACCTCCACCCTTCGTGCCAAACCCAAGGACGACTCCAGCGGCTCCAGCAAATACAACATCAGCACCGAGCTCCCGCAGGCCCGTCTCATGCATCTGAGCGGAACCTTCGCCGAACCGCAAGCTGCCTATGCCGTCAAGACTCTCCCCGCCGACCGTGTCAGCGTATCGTATTCGGAGCGAGACTCGCCCATTCAGAACATCCACAACATCTCCAGCGAGAGTCACGTGACCAGCAGTCTGGGAGACACCTTCGACTCCATGAACTCCATGATGTCCAAGAGCGAAACCATCTCCACCTTGTCCATGAGTTCTTTGGAAGTCAGTGAGGGGGTAAGAAACGACATTTACTCTTCGTTGAACGCTGCATCTGATGAATTACGCAATGTACGTGATACTAAAGTTTGCTGTCGCTCTTTCTGTTTAACTCTCACAGAGGCAGAAATCTCGTTACGCAGAACTGGATTTTGAGGTAATTACTCACTACGGAGTTTTCCACTGTAGAGTCACATGAATTTAAATCAATAACAGTGCAGCATTAACCGTTCCCTTCTCTATCATGTAGAAAATCATGCACACACGGAAACGCCATCAGAACATGTTCCAGGACCTCAATAGGAAGATGCATCACGCTGAGAAGGACAGGGAGTCACCGGCATCCGACAGCAAGGTGAGCCGCCAAACTAGACGCTCATGTGTGGAACTGATCAGAGCAGCCATAATTTAACATCCTCGCTTACTCTCGTTGCTCAGTCTTTAGAGTAATGCTCTCTTCTCTCTGCAGTCTGTCAGATGGAGCGTTTCCTCCGCTGGAAGCGACAAGACAAACCACAGCGTAAGTGTCTCGATCTTTCGACTGCATGTGAAGGACGTTTTCTCATTCCCAACTGCAGGGTCTCTAACTCTGTTCCCGATGTCTCTTTCCAGGATAAGCAGCAGGGAGCAATGGATCGGTCCTGGGAGAGCATGAGCAGGTCACAGGCGTCTCCTCCTACCTGGGTCCGGAAGGACATGGAGCCGTTGCAGGCGTCTCCTCTGGATCTCCAGGGCGTGGAATGGGAGAAGGCCGGAGCGACCATCCCTCTGGTGGGCCAAGATATCATCGACCTGCAGACAGAGGTGTGAGGGCACAGCGTTTAACCCTGAACACCTCGGTCTGCTTTTGATTTGGGAAAGAGAGTGGAAATGAAGGGATGAGCATGCAGAGGGCAGAAGGTATAGAAGAACCCGAGAAGGGAGCGCTGTACCCGTCTGTCATTTGAATATGTGTCTCTCCGGCTTCAGAAGTAGCTCTCAGCTCAAGATGACACTGACCTCAGTCATTAGAAGGCATCTGAACAGGGAGAAAGGTTTTCCGAACTCCATGCGAGGAGAGATTCCTGGTTGGTTCATCGAGAGCTCTTCCCAACACGCTTCCATCTGGTCCAGGAGGTGGTGTGGACGCCCGCCTGTGCCCTTTCATTTTTCCGCAATTCCGTTTTGGAATGGGTGAATCCTCCCACAGGAGGGTCGAACGCTTTCTTGGCTGCTCGAGATTGGCCCTTTGCGGCACCTTCCAGAGCGTTCTCTTCGGTCAAGAGGACGACGTCTCCCATGAGCTTCTAGGGGTTGTTAGCTGTGCCAAATGGACACAGATGAACTGCCGTCGCTGTGGTCTTTGTTTTTAGCGCTTTGCGTGAAGCATTTCTGGACGCTTCCATCAAACTTTGGGGAAATAATTGTACTGAAAACTTGACTATAAAGAGCTGAGCATTTACTTTCCATGATTCCTCTGTTGTTATTGTAACAAGTTATTATTATGAATGTTATTTCTTTGTTCTTATGATCATGTTATGATTTTGATGATCGTGTTTCTCCTCTTGTCTTCATACCTGTGTTCATCGAGGTTTATTTTTAACTACTGAATGAAACCATCCGTTCATTCCCGAAAACAGCAGGAGGACGAACTATCCCAGCATGAGCAGCTGATATTCTCAGCATTCTGGGTAATGTAGTTGGAGCAGCAGTGACTGTGTAGCCTTGGACTCTTTGAGGACGAGCTGTTGTTTCCTCCTCCACTCCATTGGATCAGACCACTGTGTTCCCTCCATTCCCACCAGCGGCTCTTTCTACAGCCTTTTGAACGAAGCCCCAGCACACGTTATGGGCTCCTGCCCACCTGTGAACTTCCGCAGTGCCGGCGGGAGATATTCCCAGTGCAGTATTTATGCCAAACAATAGACTGGCATCAGTGCAATATGAGGACAGATGCTTGATGCCCAAGCAGGACTGACATTAGAATTTTGGCAGTTTTTTAAACCATTTTCAGAGTTTTATATCATCTTTATAGAGCATATAGAAACCTTTATGACAACACTGTTCATGGACTATATTAGCTATTAAGCAAGAAGGACAAAACAAGACGTTGTGTCTTGCTGCTAAAATAACTTTCAGGAAAGAAAAATATGATATCAGAGTAATAGTCTAGAGATATATCTGACTGTGCTTCAGGAAAATGCCCTAGAGTTTTTTACTTGATTCCTCCATATTGTTGAGACACTGAACCCTCGGTCGTCTGTACGGTCTCTTGTTTTATGAACCTGTTTGTCTCTGTGTGTGTGCCGATATCCTTCCTCGCGTCTCTACATTCGCGTGAGGTTCCCGATGTCTGTCTGAATCTCCAGCACCAGAGTCTCTGTGTATTTCACTTCCTCTTGTGATTGTACAGTTTTAAGAACAATAGGCGAAGGTGTCTCGTTTCTAATAAAATAAAATAACTAATCATTACAGTGTCTGTTCTTTACTTTCCTGAATGAAAATCATGTGTGTACTACTAGCAGCACCAAACAGAGCTGAAAATTAATAACTGTTGGGTTTCCTGAACACTCCCCCTCCACCTGTCATTGGTCAGTCAAACATCTTAGTCCCGCCCCAAACTCACATGATTGGTCGAGTCAGAAGTTGAGATACTGGGCATCTGAAACAAACAGATCAATGTTCTGATAGCATCAAACTACCATTGACTGACTCTGAACATGAAACTGACACCCCAAACGACACATACTACAGCAGTAATGACAGTAGTTTAGGGAAAATAAGTAAAATGTCTTGTTTTCTTGCCTAATGTCTTTTTATGAGTAAATTTAAATTATCATCATCGATATCAAAATAGTTTCCAATTATTTTCCCTAAAAGGCCTGTTTCCATTTGTTCTATTTATGTGCAAAACTTTACACAGTAGCAGAATAAAACAAATGACTAACCTATCTATAATTTGGTCATTAGCATTAGGCTCTTTCTTTCAGGAAATGAGTCTGTTTGGACACAGCAGGCATATTCAGCATATTACGGATAAAGCAAAATTTCCTTTGTTTACAGGATCTCTATTAATATAAGAGAGTGAAAACCGACCTGAACTGCTGGACATCGTCAAGACTCATTACGTCAATCGCATTTAATGATAAAACAGGCTACGGTGTTCTGAGTGGTTGCTATGCAATTGCTAGGGCGTTCTGAGTAGTTGGTATTGCTAGAGTGTTCTTGTTGCATGCTATAGTTGTTAAAGTGTTCTAAGTGGTTGCTATGCAGTTGCTAGGGTGTTTTGAGTGGTTGCTATGCAATTGCTAGGGCGTTCTGAGTAGTTGGTATTGCTAGAGTGTTCTTGTTGCATGCTATAGTTGTTAAAGTGTTCTAAGTGGTTGCTATGCAGTTGCTAGGGTGTTTTGAGTGGTTGCTATGCAATTGCTAGGGCGTTCTGAGTAGTTGGTATTGCTAGAGTGTTCTTGTTGCATGCTATAGTTGCTAAAGTGTTCTAAGTGGTTGCTATGCAGTTGCTAGGGTGTTCTGAGTGGTTGCTATGCAATTGCTAGGGCGTTCTGAGTAGTTGGTATTGCTAGAGTGTTCTTGTTGCATGCTATAGTTGCTAAAGTGTTCTAAGTGGTTGCTATGCAGTTGCTAGGGTGTTCTGAGTGGTTGCTATGCAATTGCTAGGGCGTTCTGAGTAGTTGGTATTGCTAGAGTGTTCTTGTTGCATGCTATAGTTGCTAAAGTGTTCTAAGTGGTTGCTATGCAGTTGCTAGGGTGTTCTGAGTGGTTGCTATGCAATTGCTAGGGCGTTCTGAGTAGTTGGTATTGCTAGAGTGTTCTTGTTGCATGCTATAGTTGCTAAAGTGTTCTAAGTGGTTGCTATGCAGTTGCTAGGGTGTTCTGAGTGGTTGCTATGCAATTGCTAGGGCGTTCTGAGTAGTTGGTATTGCTAGAGTGTTCTTGTTGCATGCTATAGTTGCTAAAGTGTTCTAAGTGGTTGCTATGCAGTTGCTAGGGTGTTCTGAGTGGTTGCTATGCAATTGCTAGGGCGTTGCTCTCATGTCGGAGAGGGCTGGATGTAAATGCCGAATGCTCTCGGTGCGACGGGAGTAATTGTTTGCAGGGCTGTTATTTCATTCCTCATGATGGTATGAATGTGCCACTCAAAGCTTTGTGTGGGTTTTTGTCTTGTTTCTCTCAAGCCAAGAGAAGGTAATTGCACTGTTGAATATTGTGAGTCACATGATGGCGCTGGCGTGAATGAGAAAGTGGGCGCTCGGGAATTACAGCTGCGCTCCTGCGTCACGGCGAAATGCCAGCGGATTTGAGAGTGCAGTTCAGCTCCGCGGGGAACAGCTCTCAGCGTCTGGGGACTCAACCCAAACTACTCAAGCTCACTGTGGTCTGTTAGAGTGCTGTTCTTTCACACACTTCAGCTGATAAAGAACACTACCCTCGTATTCATCTGTGTTCAGTTAGTGCTGTTCTTTAAGTCACTCATCACTAGTACTAGAGCTGCTAGTCATGTGCTGAAACCTTGAGCAGTAAAGATTCAGTTCAGCATGTGTATCAGAACACCCTAGCAACAACATGCCAGTCATCCACAACACCCTAGCAACCACAGAGCAACTACTCGGAACACCCTAGCAACATATCAACTATACACAACACCCTAGCAACCACAGAGCAACTACTCGGAACACCCTAGCAACAACATACCAAACACCTGGCAACCACTCACAACAACCTAGCATCGTAACAGTGACCATAGCAAAGAAAAACACCTCTCATATTTCAAAACGTAAAAAGTCAATTTACAAATTTGCTGTTTCCTACCAAATAAAAGAGTTTAGATTTCTATTTTAAAAAACTAAATTTATTCCTTCCATAATGACAAGTCATAAATCATGTTTGCTGACAGTCAGTGGTGCTAGCTAACGTGGGCATATTTTTGTTAATTCCCCATTGTCAACACTGCCTGATTTAGTCCTGCTTTTCTGCGAAGAGATTTCGAACTGACGTCGTGTTTGGTTGCTTTTGTATTCCTTTCCAGATGTTTGAAAGTTTGCCAGGGAACCCATGCAAACCTCATTAGCTGCATGTGGCATCACCAGTGGCGTTAACAAGAAGACAAACTCTTAGCAAAATCTATCTTGGTTTGTGCGAAGAACGAATGAGCCAGAGAGAAAGAGAGGGGGACAAGAAAAATGTTTGAGCGGAAGATGGGTGTTTTTTACAGATGCAGAAAGCCTCTGTCGATTCATCCACCAGATGCGTCTGGTGGGAAGACAGTTTATGATGTTGGGACATCCAGTTCTAGAACACAAGAGAACGTACGCTACGCTCCACGTTCAAAGCCATTAAAATGATTGCTACTGGCCAGAGCAGATAGAGAAACGCAAGATCAATGGTAAATCTTCCATTATTGGAAAGTGCTATTATATAATTAGACACAACCTTAACCATTAGAAGGAAGAAGGATGATTGCGTATACAAATTTAACTTGGTCTTGCTAGTAAGGCTACAGATTTATATAATCACAGATGATCAAAGTTCAATAAGAAAGCTATACTTTCCAGATTTGTGGTTCTCCGTCTTTTTGGGTTATGGCTGCAAGTCTGATAGGGTTGCAGAGAGCAGGGAAATAGCTATGCTAATTAAGATGCTAATAAAACGCTACTAAACTAACCAAACATAGTTAGGACCACAAAATAAACTGGCTTTGGAAAGTCAAGAAAGTCCACTCAAACTCTATTTTTCCTAGGCACAGATAAGACATCATGCTCTGCAGAAGACTGATGAGGGGTAACCCAAACATAGTGGACCACTGGTGAGGTTGAGCAAAGGAACACCAATGTTTGTGATGGCGTTGTCTCAATTTTGTCCTTA